AACCATGTTATATCTTACTCAAACCATGTTATATCTTACTCAAACCATGTTATATCTTACTCAAACCATGTTTTATCTTACTCAAACCATGTTATATCTTACTCAAACCATGTTTTATCTTACTCAGACCATGTTATGTAGTACTCAAACCATGTTATATAGTACTCTAACCATATTATATAGTACTCTAACCATGTTATATAGTACTCTAACCTTGTTATATAGAACTCTAACCATGTTATATAGTACTTTAACCATGTTATATAGTACTCTAACCATGTTATATAGTACTCAAACCATGTTATATAGTACTCTAACCATATTATATAGTACTCTAACCATGTTATATAGTACATTAACCATGTTATATCTTACTCAAACCATTTTATCTTACTCAAACCATGTTATGNCGGTTGAAATCCCTACCTCAAAACTATATATACAAATGCTGGGTAAAAAGAGACAAATGCAGTCATGATATTAGAATTGATCCTGGGGTCTGGCCACAAACGTAGGGACCTAGTTTCTGAGTCACAACTTGAAAACAGTTGAGATCCCCACCCCATAACCATAAATAAAATTGCTGGGCATGAAAAATTGAATACAGATATATATGCTACAAGAATTGGCCTTAGGGTCTGGCATATTCCCTTGGACCTCATTTGGAGAATATTCTGCCATGATTGCTTAGATATCCAGGTGAGCGATACAGGCCCTATGGGCCTCTTGTATAGTACTCTTACCATGTTCAAACCATGTACAATGAAGTCAGTTGCCGATAGCAAAGGCTCTTTGGCTCCTTTAATCACCAATGGGAAATCTTTTCAGAATATTTGCAGGCACAAACATGACATAAGTTTTTTGTTACCTTGTTTTTGACAATTTTAGGTAGGGGTTGAAGCATACATAAGATATTCTTAATAATCAAGTATTTTATATCATGCTATTGTAATCTTTTGAGGAAGCTCCTAAAAGTCAATTTGTAGCTATGGAAAATATTTTTTGTCTTCTGGATATAATGACTGAATAATTTGCAAACCTTCGTAGCTCAAATGATACTGGTGTGTATCCATGATGATCAAAATAACCTTGATGTCAGCATCACACAGTATTTCCCCGAGTGAGAATCAAAATAGTTCTACCTGAACAAGCAATAGTTACTGATCTATTGTCAAATTGGAGCAAAAACAAAATACAAACAAGATACCGTTAGGAATGCTCATCACCAATAGTTTTATACCTTGTTCGTTTTTGTAATCAGCACTTGTCCTTTGTGTTGTCTGAAGTGTATATATCTTGTCTGGAGTGTATGTATCTGTTGTCTGGAGTGTATATATATCTGTTGTCTGGAGTTTATATATCTGCTGTCTGGAGAATATATATCTGTTGTCTGGAGTGTATATATCTGTTGTCTGGAGTTTATACATATATCTGTTGTCTGGAGTGTATATGTCTGTTGTCTGGAGTGTATATATCTGTTGTCTGGAGTGTATATATCTGTTGTCTGGAATGTATATATCGGTTGTCTGGAGTGTATATATTGGTTGTCTGGAGTGTATATATATCTGTTGTCTGGAGTGTATATGTCTGTTGTCTGGAGTGTATATATCTGTTGTCTGGAGTATATATGTCTGTTGCCTGGAGTGTATATATATCTGTTGTCTGGAGTGTATATATCTGTTGTCTGAAGTGTATATATATCTGTTGTCTGGAGTGTATATGTTTGTTGTCTGGAGTGTATATATCTGTTGTCTGGAGAATATATATCTGTTGTCTGGAGTATATATATCTGCTGTCTGGAGTGTATATATCTGTTGTCTGGAGAATATATATCTGTTATCTGGAGTGTATATATCTGCTGTCTGGAGTGTATATATCTGTTGTCTGGAGAATATATATCTGTTGTCTGGAGTATATATATCTGCTGTCTGGAGTGTATATATCTGTTGTCTGGAGTGTATATGTTTGTGGTCTGGAGTGTATATATATCTGTTGTCTGGAGTGTATATGTTTGTTGTCTGGAGTGTATATATCTGTTGTCTGGAGAATATATATCTGTTGTCTGGAGTATATATATCTGTTGTCTGAAGTATATATATCTGTTGTCTGGAGTGTACATATCTGTTGTCTGAAGTGTATATATATCTGTTGTCTGGAGTGTATATGTTTGTTGTCTGGAGTGTATATATATCTGTTGTCTGGAGTGTATATGTTTGTGGTCTGGAGTGTATATATATCTGTTGTCTGGAGTTTATACATATATCTGTTGGCTGGAGTGTATATGTCTGTTGTCTGGAGTGTATATGTCTGTTGCCTGGAGTGTATATATCTGTTGTCTGGAGTGTATATGTTTTATGTCTGGAGGGTATATATATCTGTTGTCTGGAGTGTATATATCTGTTGCCTGGAGTGTATATATCTGTTGTCTGGAGTATATATGTCTGTTGCCTAGAGTGTATATATATCTGTTGTCTGGAGTGTATATATCTGTTGTCTAAAGTGTATATATCTGTTGTCTGGAGTGTATATATATATATTGTCTGGAGTTTATACATATATCTGTTGTCTGGAGTGTATATATCAGTTGTCTGGAGTGTATATATCTGTTGTCTGGAGTGTATATGTTTGTTGTCTGGAGTGTATATATCTGTTGTCTGGAATGTAGATATCGGTTGTCTGGAGTGTATATATTGGTTGTCTGGAGTGTATATATATCTGTTGTCTGGAGTTTATACATATATCTGTTGTCTGGAGTGTATATATCAGTTGTCTGGAGTGTATATATCTGTTGTCTGGAGAATATATATCTGTTGTCTGGAGTGTATATATCTGCTGTCTGGAGTGTATATATCTGTTGTCTGGAGTGTATATATATCTGTTGTCTGGAGTATATATATCTGTTGTCTTGAGTATATATATCTGTTGTCTGGAGTATATATATCTGTTGTCTGGAGTGTATATATCTGTTGTCTGGAGTGTATATATCTGTTGTCTGGAGTGTATATATCTGTTGTCTAAAGTGTATATATCTGTTGTCTGGAGTGTATATATATATATTGTCTGGAGTTTATACATATATCTGTTGTCTGGAGTGTATATATCAGTTGTCTGGAGTGTATATATCTGTTGTCTGGAGTGTATATATATCTGTTGTCTGGAGTGTATATATCTGCTGTCTGGAGTGTATATATCTGTTGTCTGGAGTGTATATATCTGTTGTCTGAAGTGTATACACCCTGTATATCTGTTGTCTGAAGTGTATGTATCTGTTAACAGTCTCTGGATGATTGTCTCGCTAATCCGGGCAAGAATGGAGGGACCTGTATTGACGGAGATAACTCGTACACATGCCAGTGTGTCCTGGGCTTTACTGGAACTGACTGTCAAACAAACATCGACGACTGTAAGGACGTTGTCTGTCCTGGACAGAACACGGTCTGCCGTGACCTAATCAACTCCCATGAATGTATTTGTAAAGCAGGATACTTTGGTAAGTAACGTTGTTATTATGGTTTATTTTGAATGGAAAACACATGTCTCATACCATATAATAGTCTTTATAAGGAATGTTTGACTGACTGGCTGTCTGATACTTATAGTTAAGCTCCTAATTGGAATCATTAAAATCTATTTACACCAGTTACAGGCCAGAATGCTATGTAGATATCTGCTAGTTCAAATCTGAATGATGTGATTGGTTGATTCAATTGGTTGATTTGAATGTTAGGTTTGATTGATTGCTATGGTTTGCAAATAACAAATAACAATTAGTTAATGAATGATCATTAGATTTAGATGTGATTGGTTGCTATGGTTTGAAAATAACAATTGAATCATGGTATAATTATTAGATTTTGATTTGATTGCAGGTGAACCGTGTGTGGATGTTGATGAGTGCCTTGTACAGCCCTGTAAGAACGGTGCGAACTGTACAAACCTGGAAAATGACTATAGCTGTACATGTGTACCCGGCTTCACAAACAAGTCATGTGACTTCAATATTGATGACTGTGTACCAGATCCGTGTAAGAATGGAGCAAGGTATGTCTCATTGGTGACACTTCATCAAAACAATGGTTTTGTTTGCTATGACAATATAATATGGAAAATTAACCCTTTCACCACTGTAGACAATAATGGACTCATCCAGATAAATGCATGGAAGAGTCTACTAAAGTTGCATAGGGGTGAAAGGGTTAAGTGGATCAACAAATACAAAATAAAAATTATGGAAAAATTGTCGTAGATTTGAAATATTTTACAAAATCTTACAGTTTAAGAAAATGATGTAATAATTATTGTTACTGTAATAATTGATTATGTCATATAAAATCTAAGGAGTCATACCTCAGCTTTTTGTTTCAGCTGTGAGGACGGTGTGAACAGCTACACCTGTACTTGTGTACCTGGGTACACAGACCAAACGTGTAGTACCGACATTGACGAGTGTCAAACCAGTGGTCAGCCCTGCCAGAATGGCGCCACCTGTAGGAACGAGGTAAACGATTCATCAACACTTTTCTCACAGACAAAACTCTGTGCCCACCTTAACTTGGGCATTGTCATGGTGTCTGTCTGATAATGATGGCTGATATCTAATACTAATGGGTGATATCTAATATTTGTCTGATTCTGATGGCTGATATCTAATATTTGTTTTATACTGATGGCTGATGTTTGATATTTGTTTCAAACTAATGGCTGATATCTAATATTTGTCTGATTCTGATGGCTGATATTTTATATTGTCTGATTTGGATTGCTGACTTCTGATATTTGTCTGATTATTTTTGCAAACATTTGCCTGCCTCTAGACCCAATATTCTCCCAAAAGATGTTCCGTGGTGACACTTGGTAAGCCATTACACCATTTTTAAGAAGTAACGATACATTTTCTGCAAATGTCATGTAACAGCTAGTTCTCTATCATCCATTACATGTTCTGGATACTTGGTTGTTCATCCTTCCCCTCCAGTAATCTGTGAGGTTAATACAAAAAAGGCTTATTGCTTTGCTGTGTTGTTAGTATCATTCTCAAACTTTTGAACAAATTAAGGATGGTATTGTGTCCATGCATGCGTTGTGTGGAGGAGTATTTAAAGCTAGCTAAAGGCTTTAACAATGGTTTCACTGTTAAGGATCTCATACCACTGCAAAAATATATAATTATGCATGAGAAAATGTCTTTCAGGCATGACTATAGCTTTTATAAATCGTTTAAAAAAAGAAAAACCAAACTTGCAGAAGTTTATAAAAAAATGATTGAGATGAAATCAGCAATAATGTTCTGAGTGTAATAAAATCAATGAGGCCGGACCATGATTCGAACCCTGGACCTCAGGTTGTTATACTGTCGCTCTGACTGTGCTACCTGGTCAATAGAAGTCATCTATCCCAACTGTGCTACAGTTATCTCCAAAACAAACTTTAGGGGAGGTTACTGTATATCCGAAAAAAACAGAGAGCAGTGGGATATGAATCCTTAGCACAGTGTTTGGTAAAATAGGAACAGCATTATGATTTGATTGAGCAGTAATGATACATATCACATCACTCGATAAAGTAACAACACTTTGAGCTTAGCCTGCACTTTTTGTGTAAGCAGGCAGCTCTTTCACCTTTGTTATCATGTTGTATAATAATATGTATTTCAGGTGAACAGGTATGAGTGTGATTGTGTGGCAGGCTGGAATGGCAGCCATTGTGAGACAGAGATTGACGAATGTGCATCACAGCCATGTCAAAATGGTGGCAGTTGTCATGACTACCTCAACTTCTACAACTGTACCTGTGTGGCAGGGTACTCAGGTAATATTGCAATCAAGTTGTCTAAAAAACAGTAAATAAAGGGATTTAACCTCAGAATCATAAGAAAAAAGAAAAAAAAAGAAAAAAAAAGATTCCTGCGTGAATTTATTGTTCACATTTCCACTAAATTGACTTTTTACTCTATATACAATTATATGTAAACCAGAATTATGCATGACAACAACCCAGTTTGGTATTCAGTGTATATAGATTTTTCTTTTCTTTTCTTTTGAAAAATATTTGTAATCTTAGTAAACTTAGCGACAGATCATCTAGCTTTCTGTACTGTGTCTTTATTCTAGTTGTGTAAAGGTTCAATAACGTAAACATGTTTGGTTATTTGACAGGTGCTAACTGTAGGGTAAACATCGATGACTGTACACCAGACCCCTGTCAGAATGGGGGAACATGTCGTGACAAGGTGAACGGTTACACGTGTGACTGTCCCTCGACCCATATGGGTAAGACGTGTAATCTTAAATATGATGCATGTTCGTTTGCGCCATGCAAGAATGGAGCCACATGCAACGCCACGCTCTCCACCCAAAATTACAACTGTGCATGTGTACCAGGATATAATGGCAAGAACTGTTCGACGGACATCGATGATTGTGCTTCCAATACATGTCAGAGTCCCAAAGTCTGCTTTGATCATATTAACAGATACACCTGCGCATGTCCCACCGGTTTGTTAGCCCTGTTTTTATGCTCTTTGTTCGTCAAGTTGTGTACTAAACCAGTATTTTTAATGTCGTTGTACAACTCACAGAAGATTACTCGCACGCTGTATAGGGAATCGATATATAAAACAATGTATAAAGTAGAAATAAACTGTTGTGATATATGTCGGTTAATATTTCCGAGAGATATTGAATATTGTCTAGATAATTAGTAACCACTAGAGTGTAGATAATTAGTAACCACTAGAGTGTAGATAATTAGTAACCACTAGAGTGTAGATAATTAGAAACCACTAGAGTGTAAATAATTAGTAACCACTTGAGTGTAGATAATTAGTAACCACTAGAGTGTAGATAATTAGTAACCACCAGAGTGTAGATAATTAGTAACCACCAGAGTGTGGATAATTAGTAACCACTAGAGTGTAGATAATTAATAACCACTAGAGTGTAGATAATCAGTAACCACTAGAGTGTAGATAATTTTAAGAAGTAAAGCCAGACAAAAGAAGTTTTATGTATTAAGGTTTAGTGTATCAAGGGGATACTTAAGCATTGAACTGCTTTCAGTTGGCATTCATAGGCATTCATACTGCCTATGAATGCCAACTGAAAGCAGTTCAATACTTGTATTTACCATTTTTGGAATCGGTTCATCTCAAATAAAATTCAATTACACTTATTATTATTCAGCATTTAGTTCAAATAATGGATGTATCGTGTATACTTGTTCAATGAATAGAACAGCCATCGCCCAGGAGGTCAGTGGTACCCAACGTAACAATTATGACGTCATAATAATGATGACGTCAACAAATGGTCCATTGCATTCATTTGGTAGGGTTATATAGTGTAATGCCATATGATGGTAAATATATATGGGACATTCAGTAATAAGTGTCACTCATAAGCAATAATATAACACAATACATAGGTACATATATGTAATTACACTGGTATTGATTATTTACACTGACTGTGTACAAGTTGTAATTTTGTTACATTAATAAGTTTCAATTGATATCCTCAGACATAGTGGTAATATGCATGCTGGTACTTTTACAGTCAAAAAGAACTGAAAATTAGGAATTTTATGAAGCATAGCCTAAAATTGAGCACCAGATAAAATTATATATATTTGTAAAGGTTATGTGAAATCAGCAGTATTGGTTGAGCAGGGTTGTGTGTTTTAGTACATGGTTGTGTGTGGTCATGGTACATGTACATGTGTCTGTGGTCATGGTACATGGTTGTCTGTGGTCATGGTACGTGGTTGTCTGTGGTCATGGTACATGGTTGTCTGTGGTTATGGTACATTATTGTACATGATATCTTGCATGGGTGGAAGTTTTTTCGTGTATTGCATGAGGTCCAGGTTATAGGTTATTCCTGGTCAAAACAAGACATTGTCCATTAACTCTCTACTCTGTTTTTAGATCCCCTATTGCTGTATCAATATGTCTAGATTATGTCTCGGATCTGATGGGTATTAACTGAAGTTCCTGGTGTGGTTTTCCCTCAGACCTTGTGCAACACTTTAGCATGACCTGTCCTATCCTCATAGATTCCCTTCCTCTTAGATGATTTGAGCCAGGTTTGGGAGATTTTGCATTATCAACACTCAACCTTATCCATTCTTTTAAACCTAAATTAATTAATGATTTCAGTTAAATCCCATATTTAAAAAAAATAAAGTGATGAAATAACAGACTATTTTTATTTTTGTCTTTCCCCCCCTTAACATAAGTAATGAAATTTGACCCTGGTGTGAGTTCCTGATTGCCCCCTGTGTTTGATATTCAATGAGTCTATGGTTGGAGGTCTCCATATCCCTTTTACCTTTCTGCTCTTATCACACACCAGTTCATAATGTAGACGCATGCCAGTGCCCTGGGAAGGTAACTTAAATAAATACATTTTGAAAAATAATCCCAAACCACTACCAAACAATCCTAGTATTACCTTTAAAATTTAAATAAAAAAACTCATGATTAATGAGAATATAGTATTTGGGGTACATTTATTAGCATTACTAATTTGGGAATTTAGGTTTTGTTTTCAAATTTGTATTTTTCCAAACAGTTAATTTGATTGGCTCTTGGTCCTCTAATTTTTTTATTTTTCATTTCTTATAAAACTTTAAAAAAATAAGAATAATTGCTGAAAGTTGTTCAGTTTGAACTTATCCCCCAATTCTTTTTATAATAGGCTATACAGGGGAAAACTGCTCCACTGAAATCAATGAGTGTGACCCAGACCCCTGTCAGAACGGCGCCACCTGTGTGGACAAGATTGGATCCTATTTCTGTCAATGTCCCACAGTGTTCCTCAATCTCACTCGGTATGGAAATGGTGAGAAACTGGAGTTCATCACTGGGTACAATGGTACAAATTGTGAATACAGTATAAACGAGTGTGACTACAACCCGGGGGTGTGTCTGAGTGACGGAGCTTGCGAGGAGGAAGACGGACTACCAGGATACCTGTGTAGATGTGGTCGTGATGCAGATGGCGTCTACAGGACAGGTACACCACAATCACTAGGGAACAGAGGATAATTAAAAACAAAACACTCCTTTTCATATATAATAACTTTATTTTGAACAGGGTGTAACTAGGACAGGTATTACACTACAAGTAGGGATATAAATCTAAATGTAGGATCATTTCGGAATCCAGATATATTTAGTGTCCAATAATTGTTCATTTGTTTAGAAGGATCTCCAGATATACTAAGAGGAGGCACCAAAATGCAGCATTTGTTTTGTTTTTTTAACAAAACTGAAATTAATTGGGTAATTGAAAGATTTTACAGAATTATAGTCGTACTAAATTTAATGTTTAAAAACAGAAAAGAAAAAAACCCTGTAAAATAGTATGTCTAACTCGAGACATTAAGACTGTCAAATCTACACTGGACCAACGATTCCATCCAGGAAATATAGATGAACAACACCAAATACATATCATAAATATGGACGGCAAATTTTATGAAAATAAAACTTGAAGATTGAAAGAAACACAACTTGACCTGACAAATATGTTTTGTATTGCTTCAAACACAGATATATATATATACATATATAAATATGACTGGAGACATTACTCTAAATGAGAAAAAAACTATTTTTAGTTGCTTTATCTTCTTTATATAAGGGAGATTACTCTGAGTTCAAAAATCTAGAGCTCTACTTCCTGATTATAACTGATGTATTGATACCCTTTACCTTAAGATGATGCCATAACTATTCATATGAACTTAGGGTTAACAGATATTCAGATGTGCTAAAGTTGAACTGTTATGTGATGGAAAGAATGAGTTGAATTAAATGATTGATATGGTGTTATCGTGTATTACTAGGTCAGAACTGTGACTTGTCAACCTCCTATTGTGAAACATCGGAAATAGTAAAAAGTGATCCACCTGCGTGTAAATTTGGTGGCATCTGTATACCTGGAAGGACTTCCTTTACCTGTAACTGTACTAAAGGATATACAGGTAAGTTATATAGAAAACTTAGAACATAGTGACATATATCTCCAGGTACTACCTCCTTCAGCAGTAACGGTGTCACAGCTAGGCTATACAGGTAGGTTAATTAGAACACTCAGGACAAAGTGACATCTATCTCAAGGCACTGCTTACTTTACCTGTAACTGTGTCACAGGCGATACAGGTAGGTTAATTAGAACACTCAGGACATAGGGACATCTATCGCTAGGTACTACTTACTTTGCCTGTAACTGTGTCACAGGCTATACAGGTAGGGTAATTAGAACACTCAGGACATAGGGACATCTATCTCTAGGTAATACTTACTTTACCTGTAACTGTGTCACAGGCTATACAGGTAGGTTAATTAAACACTCAGGACATAGTGATATTTATCTCAGGGTACTACTTACTTTACCTGTAACTGTACTAAAGGATATACAGGTAAGTTATTTAGAAAACTTAGGACATAGTGACATATATCTCCAGGTACTACCTCCTTCAGCAGTAATGGTGTCACAGCTAGGCTATCCAGGTAGGTTAATTAGAACACTCAGGACATAGGGACATCTATCTCAAGGTACTACTTACTTTACCTGTAACTGTGTCACAGGCGATACAGGTAGGTTAATTAGAACACTCAGGACATAGGGACATCTATCTCAAGGTACTACTTACTTTACCTGTAACTGTACTAAAGGATATACAGGTAGGTTAATTAGAACACTCAGGACATAGGGACATCTATCTCAAGGTACTGCTTCCTTTACCTGTAACTGTGTCACAGACTATACAGGTAGGTTAATAGGATAAATGGCACCTGCATTCAAGGGACTGCCACGTTCTTCAAAAGTGGTCTTCAGAATTCAAAACGAGTGTTCATTTTGATATTTTCCATAAAAAGGCATAAATTGAATTTAAGAAAGTTTTCCTTAACCCTTTCACCACTGTAGACCATAATGGATTCATCCAGATCAATGCACGGTAAAGTCTACTAAAGTTACATAGGGGTGAAAGGGTTAACAGAAGATTTTTTTCTAAATTCCTGCAATGCTCTTCAATGAAACAACTTTAATTTAGGATTTTTATTTTCATGGAATATTTTTAAAGATTGGGTCTGTATTCATTTCACATGCTACGCCGTATGTCAATCAAATAACACCACTGTTACAACATAGTCAACATCTGACAGTGGAATCTGTAGGCATTTAGTCATCATCTGACAGAGGAACCTGTAGTGTAGGCATTTAGTCAACATCTGACAGAGGAACCTGTAGTGAAGGCCTTTAGTCATCATCTGACAGAGGAACCTGTAGTGTAGGCCTTTAGTCATCATCTGACAGTGGAACCTGTAGGCATTTAGTCAACATCTGACAGTGGAACCTGTAGGCATTTAGTCAACATCTGACAGAGGAACCTGTAGTGTAGGCCTTTAGTCATCATCTGACAGTGGAACCTGTAGTGTAGGCCTTTAGTCATCATCTGACAGTGGAACCTGTAGTGTAGGCCTTTAGTCATCATCTGACAGAGGAACCTGTAGTGTAGGCATTTAGTCAACATCTGACAGTGGAGCCTGTAGTGTAGGCATTTAGTCATCATCTGACAGTGGAACCTGTAGTGTAGGCCTTTAGTCATCATCTGACAGCTGAAACCTCTAGGCCTTTAGTCATCACCTGACAGCTGGAATCTCTAGGCCTTTAGTCAACATATGACAGTGGAACCTCTAGGCCTTTAGTCAACATATGACAGTGGAACCTCTAGGCCTTTTCCAAGTTGGTTTGCCTGGTTTGCTTACTTGAATATGTTGTAGATAAATCATAAATATTTATTTCCAGTTTTATGATTCAAATTATGTAGGTTATATCAAAATGCTAATTGGTTCACTGACAATTGTATACCCTGAACCTCCGAGGTGTTGTTGACAACTTAAGTTTCCATGGAAAATATAACTAAAAATATAATTATATTTAAGATTCACGCTGTGAAACTGATATCAACGAGTGTGAATCCAGCCCATGTCAATATGGGGGTACATGTCATGATAAGGTGGCCGGCTACAATTGTACATGTATCCCAGGAATCACTGGGCCCAACTGTGAAGTAGACATAGATGAGTGTGAATCATCGCCGTGTCAGCATGGAGGACGCTGTAACCATTCCATCAACATGTAAGTTACACAACGCATGTAGTTCACGTTGTAAAGCAATATTCATATTTTAGGTGGGTACGAATTCTCACAGCTTACTATTAACTCAAGTGCACAGGAATTTTCATAGTCAATAGCTAACAGTTCACAGTAAACGTGATACAATTGTAGCTATTGAATTTTAAATAAACAGTGAATGCTTTAGATTAATTGTATTTTACGTAATATTTAAATTTCATGTTTAGCATTGATTTTAAATTCCAGGCAAAACATCATTCATGCATAATGGAAGATGTACATGCTGGGTGAAATGAGAATTAAGGTGCTTATGGAATTGTCTGTTCGTGAAATTAAGTGGGCAGGAAATATGAATTAATCTAAAGTATTATCTCTCACTAATCTAAAGTATTATCTCTCACTAATTTAAAGTATTATCTCTCACTAATCTAAAGGATTATCTCTCACTTATCTAAAGTATTATCACTCACTAATCTAAAGTATTATCTCTGACTAATCTAAAGTATAATCTCTCACGGTTAAAGAACAGCAAACAAGAATGCAAGAAAATCAAAACACACTGCATGGCAAATATCTGCATCCTTCCTGTGAAATTATTTTATCAAATATTTTTTTCCTTTATATATGTTGTTAAGTCTAATAGTTGTATTTGATTTTACATATTTAATTTTTCAACTATCCTGAAGTCTTTATTATTATTGCACTACTGGATCAGAAGTTGAAAACCTGCCAGCAGTAACCCAATATCTACAAGTACTAATAAAGCTATACCTGTATCTATTATCTAACTACTTTATACCACCTACCAACTGTATGATTGATTCATTATTGTAAATTGAAAGTATGGGGATACTTGAGAAGTTGAGAAAGAATTGTGAATAGATTTACTTTTTTTTTTTTTTGGTCAAATTAGGATATCTGCATGTCAACTGACATCAGTTTGCTGAGGTAGATCTCCACTATTCAGTTAAAAGTGCTTTGCAAAGGGAAGTAATAAGTGATAAATAAAACTTGCCACTAGTGTGACAGAAAATTTTCTCTCATTTCCATGTGTGTAAGATAGAGCTGTCCAGGGTAAGAATAGGGTGTAGGAAATTTATATCTTACACCCCATTTCACGTGACGTGACATCACAATGGCTCGACAATGACGTGACGTCACAAATTTTGAACTCTCCGATGCTGCAATGCGGAAAAGATGACGTGATGAAATTAAAAACCTTTTACGATATATTTACTTTACACATAAGAAAGATGTGATAAGTTTTCCTGCGAAAATTCTGTTTGCCAAAATAGCTAGGATATGCTAAATCTGGCTGGCTGATTCGTTTTCGTTTTAAAAGCTCAGGGGGGGAATTGATATTTTCAAAATGGTGGCTAGTCCAAATGCATTTTCATGATTTCTAAGCTTATTCTAGTGGTTGGAATGAGAGAAAAATACTCTTTAATGCCCAAGGTTGTAGGATAGGGAAATTTCACCCTCGGGATATAGGGAAATTCTACCCGAGGTTTTTTTCAAATTTGGCAAAACCCTCGGCAAAGCTTTGGGTTTTACCAAATTTAAAAACACCTCGGGTAGAATTTCCCTATATCCTACACCCCTGAGCATGAAAGAGTCTTATAATATTACTCTGTTCAAAACTTGTACTTGTTTACATTTGTTGGTGACAGCGGATCTGGAGATCTCCTCACAAGTTGGTTGAAAGGTGTGGAATGCGATCAAGTCAACTTTTAGAAATCAGAAAGCTATATAAATAAAGACCATAAACCTTGGATTGTAGTGTTTTCAGGGTTTGTCATTTGAAACAATTTTCTCCTGCCTTTGATAAAATCTCCAGGACACCTGTGGTGACCTCTTGATAATATCCATGTCCCCTTGATGAAAATTAAATGATCACAGCAGCCCCTGTGGTATTTTTATTGTAAATTCTTATATCACATATACTTCATTTATCTAAAAGCTGTTTGATTGGTTTCCTGGTAGCTTGGTTTATTGTATATGAAGTTGGGTATATTAATTTCATGTTTACCTGGAAGTTGTCATGTAACATCCACAACTTTGGTATATAGTTTTATACTTTATGTTGATTAGAATAATTTACTGCAATCACGTTGGAATATTTTATCTTATTTCCAATCTTTATTACGTCATTTGTTTTATATCACTTTTTTTGTCTGCTTACATACTTGTTTTTCTCCCACTGTAGCCTCGAGATATATCAGCGACACAGAGCAAACCTTAGTTATATAGGGTAGGCCTTTGCTTCTTGGTATTGTGACACTGCCTTCAAACCTGCATGATTTCTTTTTATTTCATTATAATTTTGGTTGCAATTTCTTTCTTTTGAATTTTGTTTTTTATTTTGTGGAAGAATGCTTGTCTTTCTGTTTTTGTAATTTTATTTTGCATGTATCATATAATGGAAAAAAGCATCTTGAGTTATAAAAATTAACTGATTAAAAAACAACAAAAAAACCAACACATTTTTACCAATTAAATATACATATTCGAGTATAAAATGAAAATTTTCAATCTTCAAATTTTTAGTCAATCATTGTTGTGAATACAGGAATTTCTATATTAGTAATCTTATTGATGTTTGTCAAAATAGTGTAGGTAAGGTGACACCTGTGTGATGTGTGGTATGCTTAGTTGAGGATCCAGGGAAACGCTGCTGTTTACTTGCACTTGTCTGACGTAGTGCCATTGAGTTTGCTGAGTTTCATAGAAGTACTTTTCCAGTCAGGATTATCTAATATTGTTGAGTATATAAACCAGTCAACCTGGAACACTTACAAGGTGATGTTTCCGGTTCTTATTCTAGTGTATTGTTGCAAGTATACTGGAAACTTCAGCATACTACCTGTGACCTAGGAAACCCTGACCTGTCCTAGAAAAACCTGACCTGTGACCTAGGAAACCCTACCTGTCTTAGGAAACCCTGACCTGTCCTAGGAAACCCTACCTGTCCTAGCAAACCCTGACCTGTCCTATACTATCCCACTTTTCCTGTACCATACCACCTGTCCTTTGAAATTATACTTGTCCTATGATCACATGAGTAAGTCTTTTTGTGTTTGGAATTAGTATTCCACATTAGTTGTATCTGAGACCTTGTTCAGTGTACGAAGCCCCACATGTCCTATGACACCCCACATGTCCTATGACACCCCACACATCCCACATGTCCTGTGAAACCCCACATGTCCTGTGAAACCCCACTTGTCCTATGAAACCCCACATGTCCTATGACCCCCCCACCCACCCCACATGTCCTATGACCCCACATGTCCTTTTACACCCCACATGTCCTATGACACCCTACATGTCCTGTGAAACCCCACATGTCCTATGACACCCCACACTATGACACCCCACATGTTCTATGATACCCCCACATGTCCTATGACACCTCACATGTCCTATGACACCCCACATGTCCTGTGACACCCCCACATGTCCTATGTACCCCACATGTCCTATGACACCCCACATGTCCTATGAAACCCCACATGTCCTATGACACCCCACATGTCCTATGACACCCCACATGTCCTATGATAGCCCCCCCCCCCACATGTCCTATGACACCCCAAATGTCCTGTGAAGCCCCACATGTTCTATGACACCCCACATGTCCTATGACACCCCACATGTCCCGGCCTGCTGTGAAACCCCCCTTTGCCTATGATACCCCCCTTGCCCTTTGAGGCCTACCTTTATAACAGTTCTGTAGTAACTTTATACCTATGATACCCCTCTTGTCCTTAGAGGCCTACCTTTATAACAGTTCTGTAGTAACTTTATACCTATGACACCCCACATGTCCTATGACACCCCACATGTCCTATGACACCCACATGTCCTATGATACCCCCACATGTCCTATGAACCCCCACATGTCCTATGACACCCCACATGTCCTATGATACCCCCACATGTCCTATGACACCCCACATGTCCTATGACAACCCACATGTCCTATGATACCCCCACATGTCCTATGACACCTCACATGTCCTATGACACCCCACATGTCCTGTGACACCCCCACATGTCCTATGACCCCCCACATGTCCTATGACACCCCACATGTCCTATGATACCCCCACATGTCCTATGACACCCCACATGTCCTATGACAACCCACATGTCCTATGATACCCCCACATGTCCTATGACACCTCACATGTCCTATGACACCCCACATGTCCTGTGACACCCCCACATGTCCTATGAACCCCCACATGTCCTATGACACCCCACATGTCCTATGATACCCCCACATGTCCTATGACACCCCACATGTCCTATGACAACCCACATGTCCTATGATACCCCCACATGTCCTATGACACCTCACATGTCCTATGACACCCCACATGTCCTGTGACACCCCCACATGTCCTATGACCCCCCACATGTCCTGTGACACCCCCACATGTCCTATGACACCCCACATATCCCGGCCTGCTGTGAAACCCCCCTTTGCCTATGATACCCCCCTTGCCCTTTGAGGCCTACCTTTATAACAGTTCTGTAATAAATTTATACCTATGATACCCCTCTTGCCCTTGGAGGCCTCACCTATATAACAGTTCTGTAGTAACTTTATACCTATGACACCCCATATGTCCTATGACACCCCACATGTCCTATGATCCCCCCACATGTCCTATGACACCCCACATATCCCGGCCTGCTGTGAAACCCCCCTTTGCCTATGATACACCCCCTGCCCTTTGAGGCCTACCTTTATAACAGGTCTGTAATAACTTTATACCTATGATACCCCCCCTGCCCTTTGAGGTCTACCTTTATAACAGTTCTGTAATAACTTTATACCTATGATACCCCCCCTGCCCTTTGAGGCCTACCTTTATAACAGTTCTGTAATAACTTTATACCTATGATACCCCTCTTGCCCTTGGAGGCCTCACCTATATAACAGTTCTATAGTAACTTTATACCTATGATACCCCTCTTGCCCTTTGAGGCCTCACCTTTATAACAGTTCTGTCATAACTTTATACCTATGATACCCCCCCTGCCCTTTGAGGTCTACCTTTATAACAGTTCTGTAATAAATTTATACCTATGATACCCCTCTTGCCCTTGTCACCTTTATAACAGTTCTGTTATAACTTTATCCCTATGATACCCCCCCTGCCCTTTGAGGCCTCCCTTTATAACAGTTCTGTAATAACTTTATACCTATGATACCCCTCTTGCCCTTGTCACCTTTATAACAGTTCTGTTATAACTTTATACCTATGATACCCCCCCTGCCCTTTGAGGCCTCACCTTTATAACAGTTCTGTAGTAACTTTATACCTATGATACCCCTCTTGCCCTTGTCACCTTTTTAACAGTTCTGTAATAACTTTATACCTATGATACCCCTCTTGCCCTTTGAGGCCTCACCTTTATAACAGTTCTGTAGTAACTTTATACCTATTCTGAGACACAACTCATGCAATGACATCCCACTTATACCGGGAAACAAACCAGTCCAACCATTGCTCGCCATTAGTTATGGATTTGTAAGCTATTTGCTGCAGGTATGATGTGTTTAGTGCCAAAGAACCTTTTTATTGTGCTGTATGTACATACTATCAAATGAATGGTCACTTTCAGTTTTTTCAAATCAAATTATGAATGTTTTACATTTATACTAGTTATGACAAAATCACACTCACCTGTATGTAAATATTCACCAGTCCAGGGTACTTCTTGGCTCTTTTCTCCATTTCCTCTAAAACTAATATTACTTCTCTAGCTAAGGGGTAAATGGGAGACACGTTTAATATGCCTCCACTACAATTAAGGTAATGCTCATTTCTCCTCTTGAACTTGGTGCAAGTGTCAAGTCTTACATATCTCAGATATGTTTCAGAGAGCTCACTCTAGGTACAGGTTACTGATACTATAAATATAATTTTTAAGTCATTTCCCTAAAATGCTTGCTTATGAAAATGAGTTTATGTTTGTCCAAGTTCTAGGTCACATAAAATAAAAACACTTGCAAATAACTATAAATGGCTCACCTTAAACAACTTGCCTGTGAGCTTATGGCATGGTTTGGCATCTGATGTCCCTCAGCTTTTTAATATGCTCACCAAAAGCAGAGCACTTTTGAGTTAAATGATCATGAGGTGTGCATTATGTAGATGTGTGTATGGTAAAATGGTGATGCTGCATTATAATTTTACATCTGTCATGGCCCGTTGTTATTCCGCCAGCACATTTGAACCTTTTGACTGCAACTAGTGCCACAGTTTTTGAGCAAATTTGGCGTTTGGTGTGTGATTGGAATCATATGAACATGTACAATGTAGCATACAATGGGGATGCTGTGTTCTTTCCTGACAGTCCTGTCTCTTTCTAACATTTATCCTGATGACATTATTTTAGATATGAGCAAACAGATCAAATTCTGTAAACAAATAGAAAAAATGCCCTGTCTTATTCTTTTGGCTTGTGTGGTAAAGTATTTTCAAAACATACAAGAACTAATTCAACTTCCCTTAGCAATAACTATGTGTTTATTTTTATGGCTATATTTCAATATTTTGATACATTGTGTTACAAGAATGCATCAGTAGGGTTTTAAGTATGACATTTCATATATATAACTTATAAAAAAACAATGAAATGAATTGCAATTTGATTTTACAATTGTTGATACCCAAGTTGAAAAAGAACAATTTGCAATCTAGTCCTAAAATTAAAACATAGCATCCTTAGAGTTGCTAGTGACATGTATTTCCCTTCCCAAAGTACATTTATTTTACCAATATTGTCGCATACAATGCTCCAATATGCAATGTTCTTGATTTTTATATTTCTTTTTGAATCATGATATTTGTTCAATATTTGCCACAGATGGATTAATATAAATTTTACTTATATAAAAGACCTTGACCCTCAGTCATAGTCACAGGGGTCTGATTTGACCTTTCTAATGCCAAGGGTCGTGATATATTGCAGAAGGTACATTTATAAAAATGATTTTGACCCTCTTTAAAGGTCACACAGTTCAAATGTTTAGAACTGCAGACAGCATATAAGGTCTAGAGCCTTAATACTAATGGGCATGCATGCAATCTAGACCAACAGTGCAAATATTTCAAATGATATTGTGTGCCGGTCAAAAGTCGACTTTGAGTGCTGGTCAAGAGTTTAATGACAACTCATTGGCTATAATGTGAGAACAGCTTTAAAAGTCTTGTTCTTCACTTTCATAAGGTCCAGGCTTGTTATAATTTGCAAGTAGGTACCATGGATAAAGTGATATAAACTTCTTCATATATATAGCCTTGACCTACTTTCAAAGTCACTGGGGTCAAATATGTTAAACATTTCAATAATTGTTAAAATGAAGTCTTAATGGAATTTTATATTTTGTTGCTGAGACAATTATAGCTGTTGACATAACAAGAAACAAGTTTGACCAACAAATTGATTCTTTCTTGTCTCAGATTTATTTACTGGTTAAGCTCATCTAGTGTGCAGATGTCGTCATGGGGAAAATACTAAATATACCTGTCTTTCTAGAAATTCATTATCAAAGACAGTCCATTGAATATTAAGTTATTTTTTATATTCAATAGTATTGGTAATTTATATTAGATTTGATAAAATATGAAATGATGTTTAATCAGATTTCTACTTTAACAGATAGCTGACTGTGTGCTTTCTGTGATAAAATTAGTTTGGATTGTTAAAGCTAAAAGATAGACCTCAACACAAGTATTGAGTCACGTGCTGATAATTCTGTAGATTGTTATTTTCAATTGGTTTCTTCTGATCCAGATGCACATGTATATAATAAACAGATGATTAGGTATCTGAATTTTATATTCAGCATGTCTGAGGAATGTTGTAGTAACGGATATAATTTTGAGGTAACATTTCGTACTTTTACTAACAGGTATGAGTGTATGTTGTAGTAACTGATATAATTATGAGGTAACATTTCGTACTGTTATTAACAGGTATGATTGTCTGTTGTAGTAACTGATATAATTTTGAGGTAAGATTTCGTACTGTTATTAACAGGTATGAGTGTCTGTTGTAGTAACTGATATAATTTTGAGGTAAGATTTCGTACTGTTATTAACAGGTATGATTGTCTGTTGTAGTAACTGATATAATTTTGAGGTAACATTTCGTACTGTTACAAACAGGTATGAGTGTATGTTGTAGTAACTGATATAATTAAGAGGTAACATTTCGTACTGTTATTAACAGGTATGAGTGTATGTTGTAGTAACTTATATAATTATGAGGTAACATTTAGTACTGTTATTAACAGGTATGAGTGCATGTTGTAGTAACTGATATAATTAAGAGGTAACATTTCGTACTGGTATTATCAGGTTGGGGTGTATGTTGTAGTAACTGAAATAATTATGAGGTAACATTTCGAACTGTTACTATCAGGTATGGGTGTATGTTGTAGTAACTGGTATAATTAAGAGGTAACATTTCGTACTGTTATTAACAGGTTGGGGTGTATGTTGTAGTAACTGATATAATTATGAGGTAACATTTCGTACTGTTACTAACAGGTATGGTTGTATGTTGTAGTAACTGATATAATTTTGAGGTAACATTTCGTACTGTTATTAACAGGTATGAGTGTCTGTTGTAGTAACTGATATAATTATGAGGTAACATTTCGTACTGTTACTAACAGGTATGGTTGTATGTTGTAGTAACTGATATAATTTTGAGGTTTGTATTGTTATTTACAGGTACGAATGTGACTGCTATGATACTGGATTTAACGGCACCAACTGTGAACTCAATATTGACGACTGTGCGTCCAACCCCTGCATGCATGGCTCCACCTGTGAAGATGGCATCAAGGTAGTTAATTTAGGAAACTTGTGAACTTCGGTAGATCAAATATGATTCACGTTACATGGAAAATTCAAGAAACGTGTAAACTTTGGGTGGAAAGAACAAGATTCACTTTATAAATATTTGTTTTATTATTTTAGATGAGCGAGTCCATTGATCAGCCTGATAATGGCTTTTGGATGTTTGATCTAATAATTTTGAGACCAACGACACATTCCAATTCATTTTTCAGTCTTTCTTTATTGTGCGGATGCTGTTTTTAAATTTTTTATCTGATTACAGTGGTTATTTTATTTGTGTAAAAATATCTGTTTTTAATCAGGATTACAACTGTTCCTGCTATGATGGGTACACCGGTAAAAACTGTGAAATTGACATCAATGAGTGTCTCAACAGTCCATGTTTTTACAATGGCACCTGCCTTCAGCGATCTAATCAGACATTATACAACCCATCCTACGACCTTCCAGGATATTCTAACTTCTCCTACGCCTCAGCTGCAGGCTATACATGTGTTTGTATCCCCGGAATCACAGGTTGGTTGTAATCCTAAGGGATCACCAGGCTTATGTACATGTGTTTCATTATATTGCACAAAATGTGTTTGAGCTAGGATCTTAGAAAAGTTTTATAAGAATGTTATTCCACAGGTTTTGCAATGCTACAAAAACTTAATCTTAATTGCTATGATCTGATCAATTAAGAATATCAGTGATAAGCTCTTGTTGTGTCAGTTATGAGTCCATCATGATGTAGGACTATCATATATCCCTCACTCCATAGATGCATTCCTGGTTTTGCTGTGGAAAAGATAAACCAGTCTTTACCTACCTAGGGAAAGGCAGTTATCACTCACTATTGTTCCTAAAATGTCACCATTGTGTCCTCGCTTTATGTTATGTAACCAAGGTGGTGTAATCACTTTATGCTATGTTACCAAGGTGGTGTCATCACTTTATGTTATGTAACCAAGGTGGTGTCATCACTTTATGTTATGTAACCAAGGTGGTGTCATCACTTTATGTTATGTTACCAAGGTGGTGTCATCACTTTATGCTATATAACCAAGGTGGTGTCATCACTTTATGCTATGTAACCAAGGTGGTGTCATCACTTCATGCTATGTTACCAAGGTGGTGTCATCACTTTATGCTATGTAACCAAGGTGGTGTCATCACTTTATGCTATGTAACCAAGGTGGTGTCATCACTTTATGCTATGTAACCAAGGTGGTGTTATCAATTTTGTATCACATATCATCCACACTTGATGGCGGCCCTATGCCGTGACTGAGCTCACCATTAAACCTTTTTCTTTTGGTAGGAAAATATGAGAAAAAAATAATCAATCGATGCAGACAGAGAATGGTAACACTCTAGATAAGATAATAATCAATCACTCGTGTTCGATGCAGACAGAGAATCGTAACACTCTAGATAAGATAATAATCAATCACTCGTGTTCGATGCAGACAGAGAATCGTAACACTCTAGATAAGATAATAATCAATCACTCGTGTTCGATGCAGACAGAGAATCGTAACACTCTAGATAAGATAATAATCAATCACTCGTGTTCGATGCAGACAGA